ATCTCATCCCTGCGATCGACGGTAGTTGTTCAGAAAGTCCAAGAGGAATATTTGAAATGCGGAATGTTTGACATTGATAAACAGTCAAAGGTTGCTTCTTTCGAAATTACACATTTGGATTATGGACCATTCGCAACAGCGCCACCCATAGGAGGCTGTATCAGAAACAAGTGGGCTTACTCATGTTGGTGAGTAAATGTGATTTTCAATATTTAATTATACGTTGACTATCATAGTCGAGTAGAAGTGGATGAAACGTCCTCTTAGGTAATTAGTTTTTATGATAATGTGTTATTTTAAGCTCCTGTAGCAGAAAGTGCACACGGTCCGTCAGAAATTCACCACAAAAGTAAAAAAAAAAAAAAGAAAACGCACTGGAGGAGGAATTTCGCAACACATCTGAGATCATTCACGTTGCCCTAGGAATGAATACACGTCTAAGTCTTGAGTGGTGTTAAGGGTACGAGTGCAAACTTTAAAAATGACTTGTGAGTCACATTTATACAATCGCGTTAATACAATTAAATGAGATCCTTCCATGTGCAAACAGCTGATCCACTGCTGGTGACGGGCTCATCAGACAGAAAAGGTCGGGCTCCACTGGTACAGGTCTGATGACTGCACTAAGACCGAGTCGGGACCTCTCTAGACGTAGATGGCATTGGGTAGCTTCAGTTCAAAGTGAAATTGGATCCTGGTCGGGGCAGGAATGTGAAAAGTAATGTGGAAAGTGATGTAGATCTGTCATGCAGTGCGGTTATTTTCCAGCAAGGGCTTAATTTACGTCTCACTCCTCTGAGCCGCTCTGCGTGTGCTCAAGAAAACGCCACATTCCCTCCTCCGTGAAAGACGCTCTCTCTCACAACAAGTTCCACAAATGGGCAAAATAGTTTTCTCGGTTTGTCATTTCCTCCTTTCTCCCTTCTCTTCCCCTTGCCCCACCCTTCCCACTTTCAGGGAAGGAGGGCGAAGGGGCAGAGAGGGAGTCGACATGTGAGCCCGCAATTAATTTTGACCGAGTGCACCGCTTCAGTCCACGTCTGGCACCCGGGACGTCTTTTATGAGAGTGAAGTCGCAGTTGGTAGATCATCGGACAGCGAACGTACGATGGAAGAGACGGAGATGTTATAAATCCAAACAAACTTGGGTGCAAAGTCGTTTCTTGCTCGGCACAAACTAGGCACTGCATTCGGTTGTAATAGCGCTATTGACTTTGCTGTTGACGACTTTCCTGCCAACGGCCTTAAATCAGCTGAGCCCCGTTGTCTTCCCTTCAGCGGGAGCAGGAGGCTTTGACTGTACATGGTAATGCTGTGGTAGAGGCCGACATGACTTCTGGTTTTGACAGTAACTCTGGGAGAGTCAGTGAAGTGGAAAGGAATGAGAGGGAGTCTGACTGACGGACGTATGGCCTCCGCTTTATTAGGACTAAGGTTGACCTGCTTTCGAAACAGGACGAATGGGACTGAAAAGGATGCTTTGGAACTCGTCCCTTTTCCGCCTCTCTCCTCGTTCCTCCTCCACATCTTTCTCCAAGTCCTGGCCTCTGCATCACTTCCTCTTTTTGTAACCACACGCTGCTCTCTGAGGCTGGTTTCTAAAACAGGCCTCTGTTCCCTTCCTGCTGTTATTTAGTTTATGGCTCCTCTTCCTCTTTCAAGCAAGCTGCTGCTGCCTGGACAGGATGCTCCTAACTCTGTTTCTTTTGGGGGAATTGTAGGATATATAATCCTTGAATGGCATCCGTCACGTTTCATAAAGTTTAGGGATCGTTGCCAAGGGTTGGTTTCGGGATGTCGGTGTGATCATGTGTTTAGTTAATGAGTAATCCTCGTTATGAATATCTAGAGCAGCTAATCTCATTTTAAATGCGCCTCAGCGGAAAAGATAGTTAAAGGTCTCAAAGCTGAGCAAAGTAACAAGTAATCAAGAAAACTGTGATTTTTACAGGATTAGACGGGAGGCTGCAAGAAGAGGGCGGGTGGAAAACGCACTCTTGTACCTCAAATCAACATCCCCGTCTTAGTACAACTGTCGGCCTCCACACAGGACGCTCTAAGAATGTCTGATGGGAGTTTTTTTATCCGTCCTTCTCTTTCTTCTTTCAATATCGTTCAGCACTTGCCAAACTAAAATAGCTCTTGTAGTCATTTTTAGTCCTCGTGCCGCTCTCTGGAGAGGCAGTTTGAAGTGTGTCACTGAGTTATCTGTGTCGAGCATGTGTGTCGGACTGTGGCACACAACAGCAGACGAGACTCGTGTCTTTGCTTCTTTAATACCGTCCAAACCAGTCAGGAAAATTATTCTCCAACTCTTTCACTTATCTATCTTGCTGATTTATTGTCCGTCAGACAAAGACTCTAATTGGAGCAGTAATAAAAATTAAAGTAATGCAGGTAAAAGCCACTTGAGTGCAACAATAAATGGTCACAGTATTTTTTTTGAAGTGTTTGAGAAGCTGCTGTCATGGAAACCAGCTAAAGAAACAGCTTTGGGTGTGTTCAGCCTGTTTTATTTCACAACAAAAAAGCTACTGGGATTTCAGTCGATCATCCCGACTTGTATCCAAAATGCTTGAGGGAGAAATGGTCGAGCGGATTTTAACGATCCGGTGAGAACATTCTGAGACGCTTGTAGTGTGTAAGATATTCTCACGTGTGCGACCGGTGTGAGGTGATGCTGATCTCTGCTGAGTGGTGAAACTCCCACAAATGACCTGCTGGTGTGACGAGAATAAGGAAAGGGGGGGGGGGGGCACAGGAAGGAAAGCTGGAGAGGATAGGTCAGAGAAAGATGTAAGGGAGGAGGCATAGAGGATAGAGTACAGAAATGTGTNAGGAAGGGGGGGGGGGGGCACAGGAAGGAAAGCTGGAGAGGATAGGTCAGAGAAAGATGTAAGGGAGGAGGCATAGAGGATAGAGTACAGAAATGTGTGGAATGCCTTTGCTTGCTGTCTCTCCCTGATAAAGAGTGAGTATGGGAGGAATGCGACCCTGAAAAGACTGGATAAACACAAGGGGAGGGGGGAGGATGATGGTCGTTAGGATTCTGCAGAGGCAGAGGAGGGTGACCGAAGGCAGAGAGGGGAGTGTAGAGCCAGCTGAGAGCTATAGCAGGACTAATTTGCTCCACGTTCTGTTACGGGATGGGGTCGGTACACTTGGGATGAGTTGGGGAGGCGGGGTGAGCCGCTCTCCGCAGCTAAACCGTCGGCTGTCAGCGCTGATGGAGGACAGAGGGATGCAAGGGTCATGAGAAGAATGGCTCTCCCTCTGCGTTCTTTCTCACAGATCGGGGTTAATGTAGTGGAACAGACAGGACACACACAAGCCTGTTAAATGCAGCAACTGCTATTCTGTCTTTCAAGCGACTCTTAAGCGTCCGCCACCTTTCCTCGGCACAGTCGAGCTTCGGAGTTTGGACTCTGTCCGGAGCGTCTTTCTAGCTTGAAGAATTAAAAAGAGGTTGTTGTACGAACCCATCAGTTAAATAAAAGTAACCTGGACAATGCAAATTTGCTTAAACAAATCCAGGACTCATGCAAAATCAGTTTAAAGCCGCAATGTTTGTAGGATCGTGTGTTTTATAAGAGTGAGCATGAGAATTTGGCCCCAGATTCTCCCACTGGGCCACATTACTATGTGAAATTACCCTCATGTTATTTCACACACGCTGGTAACGGTACAAGCTGAAATTTACCTCTGCAAAGATTTCTTTCCCCCGTAGTGTTTGCACATGAGCATATGCAAACAAGTTCGTATGTGGCTGCTTTTTCGTGTTCCCCCCGAGGTGAGGGGAACGCTGAGAAAGGCTAATGACCCTGGCACTGCTGGGAATACGTTGTCATGCTCCTGCTGTGTTGGAATGATAATTGAGACGGTAAAGTCTGGGGCACCAGTGTCAGTGAAAGCACACCGTGTTCAGCGACTCGCTCAGAGTCTCTGCACTCGCTGAAGTCAGGGAGGTTTATTTCAAGCTTGCTCATCTTTTTTCCGTCACACTGGTTTAACTTGTCTCGTCACTTTCTATATGGGTTAAACCGCAGCACTCCCCGTCAACAACATGTTATTCATTAGCTTTCACAGGTGTATCGAAGTAAGAACAGCTTTTGCAGAGCTTGTTATCGGCTGTATATGCCTGGACAAGAAAGTCTGGCTTCTATGGGTACGTGTTATCTACCCTCCCTCTGACTAAGTACTGCAGTTTGTACATAAACTGTGTATTTTCACTTTTCTACACATGCTTTTTTATATTTTATTCGTACCCTTTATCTTTACTGTCCGTCTCTCCGTAAGTGAATAAAAGGAAATTTAGTTCCTGGGACTTTTTGGTTGTGAAAGACCAATAATTCATCCAGGATCACTCATGGTTCACTCAGCTCCCCCTGACTGACCAGTAGGGACGGCAGAAACATGGACATGCAGGCTTCCCACCAGCAAACAGACGCTCGGGTTGCGGTTGACGTAGCAGTCAGCCAAACTCCGGCAGCTCTGCTGGGAGGTGAACTTTAGATCTCTGTGATCCCGGGCGAATGTTTCTCCTCTCGCCCCAACGGCCCAGCAGCTGGAAACTTGATGAAGTATTCACAGCAGTTGGCCAGGGAGCAACATGAGGCCTCATTTGGCATGGTTGTGTGTTTAGCTGTCTTGACCTAACTTCAGCGGGCTTTTCCTGTTGTACATCACATCAGTGTGACCTTTGCATGCCACAGAGATTGCATGTGTTAAGATGGAAGCAGAGCAAAGGTCTGGTCCTGTAAACCTTTTTTCTTTTTAGCTTGACAAGGAAGTCTTTTTCCTCCCAGATATTATCGTGCAGCAACTCAAAGATAAGATGAGATTAGTCACACAGTGGGAACATTTTAGTGTGATGATGGATAAGAAATATCTAAATGATGAGCAGGATGAATGTTTGTTATGTCTGAGTTTCTGATCTGCAATTGATTTTTAAATTCCCCTTCACTGACCCGCACTCTCCTCCTCTGCTCTCTCCGAAACAGCTACCATGTCGGATGCAGACAAGTTCCTGTACGTGGACCGCAATCTGGTCAACAACCCGCTGGCGCAGGCCGACTGGGCCACCAAGAAGCTGGTATGGGTGCCCTCAGAGCGCCTGGGCTTCGAAGCCGGCTCAGTGAAGGAGGAGCGCGGCGACGAGTGCACGGTGGAGCTGGCAGACTCTGGTAAGAAGATCAGGGTGAACAAGGATGACATCCAGAAGATGAACCCGCCCAAGTTCAGCAAGGTGGAGGACATGGCGGAGCTCACCTGCCTGAACGAGGCGTCTGTGCTGCACAACCTGAAGGAGAGATACTACTCTGGTCTCATATACGTAAGTGGGGAGCCTCTTATCTGCAAACACACAGTGGTGGGACTCCACAGATACATTCTCAACTTGTGGGGAACATTATAAAAATGTGAACGATGAATATCATAATCCATTTGTGCCCCTAAATCAGTTTAAAAAAAAAATCCCACTGGCTTGTAGAAAACAATCTGCGATGCCCACAAACCAATTCATCTCCACGTCCAACCTCCTCATTATGTCATTAAGCCCAGTTGTTAAAGAAAATCCATTGTGTTCAAATTGAAGCAAATGTGCAGTTTGTGTATGGGAGCATTCCTCCCTTTCATCCCCTTCCTCTCTGTCTCCCTCGTTTGCGCTCTCCCTCTTTTTCTCCGTGTTTGGAGTTATCTCGTAAACAGGAAGTTAAAGGGAACAATACAGTCCAGAGTACGAGAGAAGTGGAGAACGGTGTCGGGGAGCGAGGGAGTAACCAGTTTTTTTTTTTTTTTGCACAATTGGACGTGGAATGTTAAAAGTGCTGTAGCTGCTATTACTGCTCCCATAATTAATGTTATTTATCGCTTGCTCTCTGGGCTGGGAGTGATTTGGTCTCCCTGACGCTGTGGTGTGACCGGGTCATATCAACACAGCCCGTTGTCACTGCCCTCGCTCCCCCCAGAGATCCTCAGCTCCGGGCTTCTCTGTAGTTTTTAGATTTCAGCGTGTCCCAGAGGGAGAGAGGGAGAGAGAGAGGGTGGGTGGGTGTGCGATGGAGGGAGAGATGCCTGGTACAAAGATATTAGGAGGGTAGCACAAGAATGCAGCAGGAGGGGGGGGGGTGTAAGTCCAGACACAGAGAAAAATATTTAGCAGAGTTTATAGAAAAGGAATGGAGGAGGATTTAAGACTTGGCCTCGAAGCAGAAAAAGATAACTCCACCTGTTGTGATCTTAGAGATACGATTCGGCAAACCAGTCAAATTCACAAAGCCGGGGTTTGGTCAGTTAAAAGTTGCTGCAGGGCGCGGTTGGTGTTACATAATACAGGCGGACACGAATCAAAGTGTGAGAAACAGCTCGGTGTTGACAAGGCAGAGGAAGAATAATTATTGAATCAAGAACTTATTATTGACAAGCTGGTTTTCAGTCGGAGGCGTCTGCACTTACTTTAGCACGTGAAATGAGCGACAGGGTTGACCCACATTTTTTTTAAATCGTATTTATATTTGCATTTCTACAAAAATGTTAGTTTTTCTCAGACAAGGGCATTTAATCTTTTGCGCTAATGTTGCCAGCACTAACACATGACGGGCGCACAAGTTACGACACTGCGAGCAAGATATCAGAAAAGTCAAGGACCCGGAGTGACGTTCGAATTTGTGAACATGATCCCCGGAAAGTGGATTTCCAGATATGCCAAAGGAAACTGTCAAAACTTCCAGTTCCAAAGAGTTTTTCTTTTAAGTGTTTCACGTCCAGTCTCTAGGATTCGGCCTAAAACAATCAACAAGTATCAAATCAAAACACTGGTTTCTCAAATCTGTGTTTTAAACCTCTCTCTGTTCTGCAGACGTACTCCGGTCTCTTCTGCGTCGTCATAAATCCGTACAAGAACCTGCCCATCTACTCGGAGGAGATTGTTGAAATGTACAAGGGCAAGAAGAGGCACGAGATGCCACCTCACATCTACGCCATCACTGACACGTCCTACAGAAGCATGATGCAGGGTAAGTCACGGTCGTTGTGAATATTGGATCTGTGAAAGGTGCTAACTGTGTAGAACTCATTGTACTTCATTTTGTACACACTCTACAGTTGTCAAGTGCTCATATTACTTTGCTAGTGAATATTTTCTGCATGTAGTTTTGAGACATTAACCTCGACATCGTTACATAATTGTCCTCATGTGCGGCTCCAAAGTGCTCAGACCGCATGATAGGGGCTTATGGGTAATTAACCAGTTAGTTTGAGAACCGGCAGCGCCTCCTTCCAGCTACACAAAGCCGGATATTGGTTTCCTGTCTGTGGCCATGTACATCCTGTATGCACTGAAGTGATAACGTACGCTCGCGTAGAATAAAGCCTGATCACACTTTTGCACATATATTTTGCAGATCGTGAAGACCAGTCGATTCTCTGCACGTGAGTTTCAGATGCTGACACACACACACACACACACACACACACACACACACACACACACACACACACACACACACATATGGACATGGCGTTCCTCCAGTGTGCTCACTCTCCCTCGCCGTCCTTTTCTCAATCTTTTGACGGTTTATTTGTCTCTGTCCGTCTTGTGCAGAGGAGAGTCTGGTGCTGGAAAGACGGAGAACACCAAGAAGGTCATCCAGTATCTGGCTCATGTGGCCTCCTCTCATAAGACCAAGAAAGATCAGGTCAGTCCTGCCTCTCATCGGCACACGTCATCCTTCAGGACGTCCTCCAGTTCCTCTCTCACGTCCTCCATTAAAGCCTTTATCGGTCATTCCTTCTTATTTCACTGATTTATTTCAGTCCTCATTGTGGAGCGAGATTCAATCCCTAATCTCCATTGTTTTATTTTTACAGGCTTGACATTATTCCTGTTTGCATCAACCACTTTTTATTGTGTGTGTGCACTTGATTGTGCACATGATTGTTAATCCATCATCATCACACTGCTGTTTTCAAACAGCTTGTTTTCAGCAGCAATCAGGAGAGTAGCACTGAAGGCACAGAAAAAAACGGTAGTGAAAAATTTAAACCGTGGCTCCGGACTTTACTTCGTCTGTGGTGTTTTCTGTTTTGCTGCACATCCTCAGCAGAAAACCTCTTTAACACCAAGATGGTATATTCCATTTTTAAACCTAACAAGGGGCCACACATCAGACTGGACCACAAAACTACTGTCATCTGTCCCGTCAGCCTTTTTTTAGTGGAAGCTGCTGAAAGCAACAAAGTGAGGTGTGATGAAAACCACATCCATCATCCCTTTTTGAGGTTGTTGTATTTCTCTCTTCCCATCAACAGAACAGCTTCGTCCTGACACATGTGAGTCCACTCGCTCCCTCCATTCACCCTTCCTCCCCACCTGCTTCTGTCATCACCCTCCTCCTCCCTCCTCTTTCCTCCCCCACCGTATTAAGGGCAGGGTGGGGTGACATGCCTTGCCAGCCAATTGCAGGCAAGGAGGAAGTTTGTTTGCAGATCAGTGGCAGCCGTATGTGTTCCTGTGAAAAATTCAGCTAGACAATGGTAGGATAAGGGGGCGGGATATTTGCTGTGGGGGGGGAAACAAAACATGCAAATTTTGGGTTTTATAGATGTGATCACATATTTTGTCTGGTTGAATTTTTCATAACCTTTATCGCTACTGTGTGTTTGCACCTGAGTCCAGTTGCTTCTCTCTTTTATTTATTTTTTTTTTTTTGTATAAAGTTTTGCTTGGTCATTGTGTGTGTGTTCGTACAATGTCTGGTCTCAGTGTAAAACAAAGTGATTAGTTAGGATTTGATCCTCAGTTTTCCACAGACTCTTTGTTCAGTAGAATATTTTTCAATGGGAACGTCAGCTTTTTTGACTTTCAATGCTGGATTTGATGTCATCATCAGTAAAAAAAAAAGTGGGGAAACACTTCTGTATGAAAATCCAGGAGGATTTGTCGTCAATGGAATAAAAGTTCCTAATTGTGAGGCGAAGCAACTTAGCAGGAAGTCAGTCAGAGTCGCTGAGAGAGCGTCGATAGAATAACATCAAGATAAACGCAGCACAAAATTCAATTCAAATGTTCAACAACATTTTAAAACAGTTTTAGAACATTGTAAACGAGCCTCTGTGGCAATTAAACAAATATCTAACTCGTTACTGAAATGTTATCTGAGTCACATTCTGATTTACTGCATCAGATACATACACTGAATACCGCAGCCCCCTCAGGACCCCGACTTCCAGCGTCACTTCCCTGATGATGTAATGTTATACTTCACACAATGGCTCGCTGTATATGTGCAGACTCACTGTCACTAATGAGGCATCGTAGCTCCGAGGAAGAAGTCAAATGTTTGTACCGAAGCTGAAAGGACGTTGTTCTGTGTTCACTGCATCGTTCCGCTCTGGGAGTCTGGTGATGGTTTATCGATGAAGGTCACGGGGTCTTCGGGTGTTTGCAGATTTGGGCACTAACTGGATGTTTTGTGTGGGGAGGTTAAAACGCTTTGGTGCATTTTGTGTGTGTGCGTGTGTTTGTGTGCGTTGCTGGTGTGTACATGGTATCTCTTTTGTCACTTTTTGTTTTTTAAAAGTTTTTGCACAATCCATGATCTCTCTCTCTCGTCTCAGTACATCAGGGGCAAAGTAACAAAGTATGACGGAGTATTAGGGCCATTTAAATGAGAAAAGAATCGGAGATTTCCAAAAGAAACTCCTGAAATCATGTGAATAAACTCATAGTGTCATTTTACAGCAGGAAGATCAGAAGATCAGCCTGTCGCCTGTGTTTTAAAATAAATATACACGCCATCTTAAGTTTTTCTGTAGTATAAGTTTCACTTTTAACAAAAACGAAATGTTACGACTCAATTCTCCAAATCTCAGGATTCTTTTCTTCGATATAGCCCCGATGCTCCGTCTAACAACAAGCAGCTGTCATCATATTTATATACAAACAAACAAATCATTCTCTTGATCGATATTAATTTGAGGTTCTATCACTCCATCGAAATGAAATGAGTTATCAGTTCTGGTGATGAGATCTTGTGAGATCAGAGTCCAAGGCTGAGAAACGTCCAGATCCAACGGTGAAGTGACCTCAACGCTTCATATTATGCTTTGCTTTTTTTTTTATATCTTCATTTCCACCAGGGGGAGCTGGAGAAACAACTGTTGCAGGCTAACCCTATTCTAGAAGCCTTTGGAAATGCCAAGACAGTCAAGAATGACAACTCCTCCAGATTTGTAAGTCTTACATGTATAAACTGTTGTTCTCTTTACAAACTCACTTTTCCTCCTCGACTGCTTCGAGTTCTTGTTTCTTCAACGCCGCTCTTGTTTCTCTTCAAGGGAAAATTCATCAGGATCAACTTCGACGTCAACGGTTACATCGTCGGTGCCAATATTGAAACTTGTATCCTTGTAATTTCTAACTTCACTTTTTCAATGAAAACATTTTCTTACTTACAATTTTTATTCGCACGCTAAATGTTTCAAAAGGGCTTTGTCGCAGAAGTGTTAGAAAAACTTAACAGATCGTCCGCTAGACCTGTTGGAGAAATCTCGTGCCATTCGCCAGGCCAAAGACGAGAGGACCTTTCACGTCTTCTACTACTTGCTCACGGGGGCTGGAGACAAACTGCGCAGTAAGCGACGCTTTCCTTTCCCATATGTTTGAAGATTTTGAGGATTTTTCTGTTTCGTTCCTTTTTCTCACGGCGATTTTTTTTTTTTTTTTTTTCCCCCTC